ACCCTGGCGAGCCGCGTGCCAAAAGTTGCCAACCCCTGCTCTATTATTTATGTATTTAGAGAAAAACAAACGTACAAAACATGGCCTAGGACCAGCACTACCCCTTAGGTTTTACAATGCTGCCATTCAAGTCTTGGCAAAACTCCTATTGATTTCAGTGGAAGCAGGATCGATCCCCAGCACAACCTGCCTCTGTAATGTTTAAGTTGACACACACAGTACAGATTTCAGATTTTATGCTAGGTTTTTTGTTTATGCGGAAAGCTTTAAAGCTAATGGTTTGAGTCACTCCCTAAGTTATCCTTCATGAGGGAGAAAATAGCCTATGCTGTGCATTAAGGATGGACTGTGTCTCTACTAGCCTGAAGAAGAGCTCTGTGTAAGCTCGAAAGCTTGTCTCTCTCATCAACAGAAGCTGATCCAATAAAAGATACTACATCCCCCACTTTGTCTGTCTAATATGCTGGGACCAGCACAGCTACAACAATATTGCAATCTCCCTTAACATGGACATTTCTAGCTATTGCCAACTTGTGTATCCATTTTATAGGTGTATAAAGACTTTGCTTGCTATTTAATGTCCCAGTTTGAGTAACCTCCCCCCCACGCCAAAAATAGCCACCCATCAGCCAGTCTTTCCCAGAAATGTGGAAACCACATCAATTTACCTAGGACTCTGCTCTAACACTAGGGGACTCAATTTCAAAAAACAGTGCCCCAAATGTGGTCACAGTAGAGAGAGGCACAAACAGGGAAACCACTCTTTCAGAATTGCCAACCCCAAACATAAAAAAAAAAATCATGTGATTTAGAATGAACAAAACAATTTGGGATCTTTTTTTCTTTGCCTTCTGTTTTCTGAGCTTTTCTGGAGCACCTGGGTCACATTTCCAAGCTTTTCTCTGCAGCACGAGGGCTAGAAACTTTTTTTTTAATGAAATCTGAGATTCTCATGTAATCGCATAACTCCAGGAGCTGGAGAGCTGTTTAGTAAAACATAAAATCTTGTGAGATTTGGCAACACTATTCCCTGATTTGTGTGAGTAGTGCACAGTTTGCATGTGTAAATTACCTAGGGTTACCATACTTAACAAATAAAAAAAGAGGACCCTCCACGGGGTCCTGGCCCCGCCCATTTCCCACCCCAGCCCTGCCCCAACTCCGCCCCTTCCCCGCCCC